AAATTCGGATTCCGTTCAATAGAAATATTAAGTTGGTCCTTCCATGTGGATCAGAAACTTGGCTCACACATCACGCAAAGCATTTCGAATAGGCTTTCAAACTTTTATTAACAGACGCCTTCGCTGGCTCTATACTGAAGTTCAGTTGGTCGGTCAGAAAGAATTAACAACAAGAAACTCTGGGTAGCAACCAATCAAGAACCTATTGATGAACAAATACCATGGAGAAAATGGAGATGGGTTGGACACACACTGAGGGGACTGTTGGGTGACATCGTGAGTTAGGTCATTGCTCCAGTGGGAAACAACAAGTTGGGCGTGTGCCGTAGGTTGTCGTGGAGGAGATCGTGTGAGTAGAAGATGAGGAACTATGGTCAGTCGTGGGGACAGATGAAGAGGGCAGCAGAAAATAGAGCGAAGTGGAATTGTTCTGTTGAAATCTTATATTCCACTCGCAATCCAAGGGAACAATAATGATATAATACTAATCAAATAGGTTAAGAGCCTTTCGCCGATTGACTCTTAAAATCTTTGCAAGTCGCTAAATGTTACGCACTTTTATTCACGAATATTGATTTCTACTTTTTAATTATTTGGCAGCTTGTATGAACCACCGGGAGTGATTTATGCATTATAACCAGTTAAATAATTGTAGGACCACAGAATATGGAATATATTGTGCATTGCTTGTTGGGAGTTACTGTTTACTATTCATCTGTCTCATAGTATCTTAATTTCCTTCGACGTGTGCAAATAGACCTCAAGTAGTGTTTATTTTGGTTTGTAGGTGGTTTAAGTAATGCGATTATTGCTCTTCTTTTGAATATAAAAACATATAATTTCTATATTTGTCATCCAGAAAATTTAATTGTTATTTATCAAAATCAGTTTTTTTTTCAATCCAGTTACAGAACAATTGTAGGCCGTTTAATGTGTCATCATTGTTTAATATTCCTTGTTTACTCGCAAAATGTGCGTTGGTGGCACAGCGGTTAGGATGCTCGCTGGTCCGGGGTTCGATCCCCGGCCGACGCACTCCTTCGCCTCGCTAAACCAGAAACAAAGCTGGTAAAGAGGGAAGGTTGGGCATGAGGCTAGCAACCCCATTCTGTAAAAATAAACACTGCTAGAGAAACTTGAAGCCCTATGTTCCACTGGAAACGTAAAAGGAATAAAAAAAACTCGCAAAATGATTGTTATTCACTTATATCAGTCTTCTTCCATGATTCGACAAAAATTGTGAGTTAGCTTCATTTGACTAGATGTCAGACATGATAAAGTAGGATACTGATTAAATGATTATGTAACCAAGTAAGAGTTGAAAGAAATTAACATTAAGGCTAAAAGAGATGAGTTATCAAGATTCTTTTTGAATGCATAAGTCAGGTTTTAATCGTCTGATAACGATGGCCTCTGCAGTTGATTTATGATGATTAGCAGCAATGAACAAAGGATGTCAGTTTCCAGTTGTGATTAGTATATCTGGTAGTGAAATTTTCTTATCGAATAGGATATTTCTTTGTAACCAGAGAATCGTATTTTGAAATGTAGTTATCCGTTTGAGTACTCCGGTGACACAGTGGTAGAATACTGGCCAACTATGCAGGTGGTCCGGGATTCGATCTCCCACCGACGCACTCCTCCTTTACCTCGGTAAGCCAGTAATAAGACTGGTAAAAAGGGGAGGTTGGTCATGAGGCTAGCAACCCCATCCCTTAAAAAGTAAACACCACTGCTACCGAAACTTCAGGCCTCTAGCTTGAAGCCCTATGTTCCACTGGGAACGTAAAGGGATAAAAAAGTGTTATCCGTTACTTTGAGTCATTGACTGACGCAGTCCTGCCTGGAAACTGCCCAGATGATGGGTATAAATCCATCCATATATATATATATCATTAGTCTGAGTAATCAGCGGGGAACAGTTAACTATTACATGAAATTTTTATCTTATCGCTTGACCTGAGTAATTTACTCAAAAGTGGATGAATTCAAACTCATTATTTCATCTGATAAGATAAACGGTTGTTAGTTGTCGAATGCGTAATCCGTAATCTAAGCTTGAGATAATTCCTACCTATGGATGTCAGTAATCCTAAATGTTTCACCAGACTGTATTATTACGCCTTTTTCACTGTCTGTCTGTCGTGTGATGACCATAGTCTTATCTTTGAGGAGATACCATTAGGCACTAATGTTATCATAGGAGTAATTATGCTGATGGTTTTTTTTGTTGTTGTTGTTTTGACAAATCAGTTAGGAGAACAAATAAACTTACAACATTGACAAGTGACGCAGCATAGACGATTTTGTTGATTTGTTCAAATTTAGAAAGTAAATGACTAGTCATACTCTCTCTCTGTATTGTGTTCATTCTGTGAGATTAGTCTTCACGTTTATTTTTACAGTGTGTGCATCGATTTTGTATATGTATTAACTGCATTTTTAATGTATTTCAAACTTTTTTTTTATCAAGTAATATTTATGTATTGTTATAGGTTTTTTACGTAGGCAAAACATCGTCCACATGTTGTAAGGCGTTCCTGATAGTTAGTGTATTTGAAATGATAATGCTAATAATGAGTCATCTGATTTTGAAATGAATATATATAATATAGATATGTATACAGATGGTATTCATTGGCTGGACTCTATACTGTTTTAATTAAGAAACAGGTTGACAATCAGTTTTGGACATACAATCTAAGCTTCACGTGATATGCCTCCGTAACTAAATATTCCTTAGTAGATAGGAATCATCATTCGGTATTATTTTCATTATCAATAGATTTTTGTATTTTTATAATGGAAGCAGTGTTCTTTGCGTTAGACGATAGGTGGTGGATATGTGGTTCTGCTTTCATTTAGTCAATAATAGCTCATGGGTTTTAATTCCGCTCCGCCTACTTCAGTCTGGTCAACTGGGTAGCACACAATAAATGCAGCTCACAGTCCGGTATTAGGCAATTGAGTAATAATTAACTGACGTTAGAATATAATATATAATATATAATATATATAATATATATATATAATATATATAATAATATATAATATAATATATAATATTTATCCGGTTCTGCAATAACTTTGTTATTTCTGTTCACAACTTAGTAAAGTTAAAGGATTGAGTGAAGAAATATTTACTTTTCCATTAGATCCTCATCTCAGACTCTACTCTAATATATATAGCATTTTTATTACAATACATAACAATTTAAACAAAGCAATAAGAAGACGTAATTTGTCTGAATCGTGTAATGTATGTATTCGCGCAACACATTTCAAACAATCTGATCACACACAAACTTGTCATAGGAATATATTTGAAATTAATAAAGAGTTAAGAGGTGAGAAAATAGACATATTGAAGGTCAAAATAACAATGAAGACCATTAAACTAAATAGCAGAGGTAATAGTACATCTGCAATGGTATCAAAACAAAATTTACCAAGGAAGGTTTAATGTGATGACGAATTGTTGGTTTGAACGCTTAAAGGTGGTTTAAACTTTCTAATTGCCCGCTAGGGCTTCCACAAACTTTAGGATACGCCTCAAACACGTTTAAAAGATAGGTTTAAAAGATCTGTTAACGTCAATTTTATGTCCCGTCTCTATAATACTATGTTTCGCAATAGAGGAGCTTGGTTTCCTGTTCTCACTATTAATGGGTTCTGAAGATTCCATTTGTTTCTGGAGCCATTTAGGAATATGCTATGAAACCAGCCCTTACTTGCAGAGATCGATGAGTCTTCCCTATGTATGTGTGTCCACACGTACATTCAAATTGGTAAATACAGTGGGATGTGACATCATTTTTCGCATGTTCGAAGGGCTTAGATAGATGGATATATTGGCTTCACATTGTCAATTATTATGATATTAGCTGCATAAAACGTCTTTTTGACAGCACCGTTCAGTCTTTGTCTAGTTATCAAGCTGCTATGATGTCCCATATCGGGTAGCTTGATGTACACGTCTTTCTTAGGGGCGAGTTGCAGAGTAGGTCATAACAATTTACCAATCAAGTGGCGATATGTTTGTTAACAATAATTAGTCAGTATCAACATGTCAAACGGGGATGATAATTAACAAAGAAAATTAATATACACACACACACACAATTAAAAGGTAGAAATGGTTGCAACACATGGATTGCATAATGTATAATTTTAGAAAAATGAAGAGTAATTAAGGAGTGAGCGTGTGCTCAGGTTGATCACGTAACAGTTTGTTAAAGAAGAAAATAAAACGATTTTTACAATGATAACTTGTAACTAAGGCTGAATTGGTCATAAGAATAAAATAATTTTACACAGTTAACATGTAATTAAAGATGAAGGAGTCAGAAAAAATAATAAAATAATCTGGACAATTATAATTTTTAAAGGTGTAGAGGGAGGAGAGCGAAGTATTCTGGTTTATACATTCATGTAGCGATGGCCAAGGTAAGCAAAGTGGCAGTAAAAATATCTTCTAAACACACAGGTTTGCCTTTTTCAGGTAGATTCCTACGGCGTCACCTGTATGTAGAAGACGAACTCGTAAAGCAAAATTAAGATTAGCAGGAATGCGATAAATAATTTTAAATGCTGTATTAACATCAACCTTATGCTTACTATCTACAAGGTGCTCTCAATCATTCTGCTTTCTGAAGGTCTAATTGGGGATTTTTTCTATATTCGTTATACAAATAATTCTGGTTTTCCTTTTTTCTCCGAAGTAATAACTGTTTTTTGGGTCATCCCCTTCATTATATAAGTACTCAATTTTGGTAATTTATAATTATAATTTGACTTCGAGGTTATTTGTTTGCCATCCGTAATTAAATTTTTGTTCAGTAATGCAATTGAAATTCATGCAGCAGTTTATAAGAAATGGAGTTATCAAAATCAAATTTCTTCTTGTACTGCGATTACACTTTCTGTATTCACATAGCATAGTTTTCGTTGAATCAATATTTTGTTAATTTCACCCCCTACCTTCTCTGTTTTCTTTTAAGTGTCGTGAAATGATGTCTGCCTGTCAAGATCGTGTTTTAGCCAATACAACTAAACTTCAAGCCGATCAACGTGAATATATTAACCGACAAGCTGCAACACAAGAAGCTGATCGAATTCGTCGTCGTGCTGAAGATAAACTGGTGGCTGCTAATCAAAAAGCTCGAAGTAAAGGTAAAGATCCGGATAATAGTCAAAGATCAATGCGAGCACAAAATGAATATGATTTGGTAAGTGTGTACTCATATACATATTACTGTGATCGATGATTTCGTTGTACTGTACTGACGACTGGCTGTTATGGATGACACCATGGTCCCTCATTTTAATAACTCGGATTGCGCATAAATTGTAAATATTGTGTCATGAAATAAAAAATTAAAGTAGATAAGCATATGATGATAATGATGACGATGTGTTCACTTAACCGTCCTATATTACATATAAACTGTTGGCTGTTAATTAATGTTAATTTCAGTTTTAGATGTAAAAGAAAGTTAAATGAAGCTGTTGGTTCCTATGACCGTTGCAAAATTGATGACAGTGATATAGAAACCAAGTCTGAAGTTAAGTATCTTGGATTAATTCTCTCTTCTGACCTATCCTGGTCCTCTCATGTCTTAGCGATTTCTAAAAGAATATTTCGTTTGACTTTCTACATTGAGAAGTTAATGCACACAGACATAACTCAACCCCTCCTCCTGTTGCAGTTCGTCAACTCGTGCATCTTACCTATTCTTCTTTACTGTTCACCCTTATTCTTTCCTGGATTGCTTAAAAAGGACTATGTCATACTTCGTAGAACTCTGAAGACTGTCAGTAGGGCGAGTGGTATCCCATTGGACCATATCGTTGACATTGTCACTGATAGGCATTTGATGTCATGCAACAAATTTGCTAAAGGAATTTTGTAAGACTCTGAACACCCACTCTACACGCAGCTCCAACCTTGTGTCTCCTCAGGTAAAACAAGAAGTCTTTTCAGAAGACTTTATGCACGTGCGTCTAAGTATAAAAATTCCACTATACCATATTTGGCACGTTCTTTATGTGATGAAAATAACGCCACGCATGAACTAATTAACCTTCTTTGCACTACTAAATAAACCATTTCCTCCACCCTTACAACATCAACCTTTATTGTTATTGTACTTCTTATATTTATAATCCTCTCAATTTTTTGTTTTTATTTGTTTATTTTGTCATAAGTGTGAACATCATTTAAGCTGTGTTATAACTGTTAATTTTGCCTTTCCCCTCACTATACTATATCAACAGAACATTATTATAATATTATTATTATTATTGTTCCCTTGGGTTCCTAGTGGAACATAGGGCTTCAACTGCACGCCTCCACTTGCTTCTGTCTTGTGCTGTACTTTTCACTTGCGTCCATGTTATTCCATACTGTTTCATCTCCTCTTCACACGATCTCCTCCATGTCACCCTTGGACGACCCACTCGCCGCTTCCCTTTAGGGTTCCACTCGAGGGCCTGACGCGCGATGTCACTCAATGGCCTCCTCAGCGAGTGTCCAATCCATCTCCACTTTCTCCTGCATATTTGTTGGGCGATTGGTTCCTGTTTCGTTTGTTCCCATAGCTTCTTGTTTGTGATTCTTTTCGGCCATCTAATCTTCAGTATGGAGCGAAGACAGTTATTATTATTACTATTATATTTAATAATCTCAATTCGTACTTCGAATATTTTTAACTTGATGTCGTAAACGTGGACAAATTCCTCTGGTTAATTTGTTTTAATTTTTAATTTTATTTATATTTTGAGTAAATCAGATGCAATATTGTGACAAATGCTGAGAATTCCATTCTGTATTTTAAGCACTGTTTTTGGAATAAAGTAGATGATTATTATTATTTGGGCACTGCGATAGGATATAATTGAATGTTAGGATAAGTTTGTTTAATATAACACACAGTCGGATTGTTTTCATTACTGGATCACGTGTCGAGCACAATTTATTGTTCATAATCATATCAGTGTACTGTTCACACAGCTTCATTTCCCCTTGTCGGGCGTTGCATCATTTCGACTACACGTGTTTGGTGTTGATTTGAATGAATACCAATTCAGTGATTAACCTCTCTGCCCACTTCACTATATTACTTTTTAATACTTTCACCCTATCTCACCCTATTGTGTGATTATTATTATATGGAAGTGAATGCACTGCCAATGTATGAGCATTTTTCTAAGTTATTTAACTTGGCAGCTGTAGATAAAATCTCTATGTTCTGATAATCTTTATTGACCCCGTTCTACTTCTCTGAACTACTTAAATGATCTTACAGTGATTGCACATTGTATTTGGTAAATTTTTCTTGATTGAATCTAATAGGTCCATAAGCTGACAAAGTTTGTTCCAGCCATTACACAATGTTTTCATTTGCATGTAATCACACAACATGGTGGAATAGGGTGAAAGTGTGGTGAGAACTGTCTGCAAGCCAAAATTGTAGACAGCAATTTACATCAGTGTTTACGTCCCGAATTGGGGTCATGAGAAAAAAACACAATAAGAATGCTAAACCTTGAAGAACTCACCAACCAATCACGGCAGACTTAACGTGTGCAAATACGACTCGCAGATATATAGTTTAACTTTCTAGGAAACGTTTACAAGCAGTACAGAATAACCTTCAGCAGGAAAACAACCAATCAGCAGACGCTGCTTCCCCGCTGACAATAATGTACATAAAATCTATAAATATCTGTTGATTTACTCAATAAATCATCTGCTGCCTGACCATTGTCTTCTATAGTTACAAAAGTATTAAAAGGTAATATGGTTAGGTGGAGACAAAGAGAGTGAGAGAGAGGTTAATCACCGAATCTTTGTCCATCGAATCAGCACCAAACACGTGCAATCGAAATGATGCAACGCTCGTACGGGATATACGGAGAATTCCAATAAACAATAGAGGAGAGATAAATGAAGTTGTGTGAATTAACTGATATGATTATGAGCAATAAATTGTGCTCCATAATGCCACTCCTTGGTATAAACTTATCCAATATGGAGTTGGTCATTAGTGTTACGTAGTGTTATGACTAGTTAAAGTGAACTTTCACTTTATGATGGTCTTAATGCCTTGCTTAACCCAATAATTAATTCATCACTGTACACCGTTTTGTTTCTTTTCGGGTGGTCGGAATTTAAGGTCTCCAGTTTTATATCGTTATATTTTATGCATATGTTTTCGTCATAAATCGTAAACAGACAACTGTGTTTTGTTTTTGTCGTATCCATGTTAGTATAACTAACTGCCATTCCTCTAAATCACTGTACAAATCAAATGTCTAATAAATTATAATAAAAAAAAAAGAAAATTTTTCAGTCATGCATTTAGTTGTACGCAATACTTGTGCCATCTAGCTGTAGGTAGGTAGGTAGGTACTATGATGAGTGAGTGCACTATTGTTAGTAAATTCACTTTCTCTGTCTCTCATTATAGATCTCTAGTTTGTGTCAGTTTATTATTCCACCTACGATTGTTTTTTTTTGATTCACTCGACATTATTTATATATATGCTTGTGTATATATATTCGTGTATTTTTATGGTACCTATTTGTTTTTTGTTTTTTAATGAATCTTGGTCCACATAGACTTCATCTTGCATACTATATAGTTGTTATCCTGTGGTTACAATAATTAATCAAATGCATTTATTGATTGTTCTAACAAAGTTCATTTCTCTGCTTTAATCATGTTGGGCTTTGTTTATGCTATAGAGCGAGAGAGAGAGAGATAGAGTGACAGAGTCATTGTTTGTTTAGTTGGTTTATTATTATTATTGTTATTGTTGTTTATCATTCTAATTGTTTGTTTTTTTTTGTCAAGGAAAAGAAATGTGTTCCGCTTGTGTGTGTGGATAACATATAAAAATATAATATATAAATATGAGTGCTTCTTATTTCTTCTCTTCTCCTCTTTTCGATAGGATATGTGCAGCCCAAATATCTGTATCTTTCTGTCATTTATTTTCATATTGCCTAGTGTTATTCATTTGTTGATGTCATTGGAACCACTTATGTCGAGACACACGTAAAGAGGTAGAATGTAAATATGTTTGCTGAACAAATATACAGAGTAGGACAGATTGTGGACAGTGAAATATCTTTTTTTTGTCTCAAACATTTTAGTTTTAATTGCACTTCATATTATTATTATTTCATGCATTCACACCTATGTTTCAATTCCCTCACCGGATATAACTTCTTAAAAACCATATATATACGATTGTACAGCTTGATGATAAATTCGTTGAAAAGAGTCTCTTCGCTGAATCATTTGTTTCGATTTTCTATATGTTACAATGGGAATTTTCCATGATTCAAAGACTTTCAGCAGACTGACTGTCCTTGTCCTGCATCTTCGACATACGTGACTGACAGTGTATAGAAATTTACACAGAAATGTAGCAGTTTACTTTGTTGCAATTATTCAAGAAAAAAAACAACAATAGCAACATAAAAGTAAATGCAAAAGAACTGTAATGTGAATAGTGTGATATGTATATAAGAGACAGATAATAATTACATAATAATTAATAAATATTTTTAGAATATAACAGATAATAAGGAGTGAATAGATGCATATTCCAGTTTACGCTGTCTCTGGCTTAGTAGACCTTGTATCCGGCTGTCGACCGAAGGATGGGTGTACTGCTCAGCAGTTCGCTCTGTCCTCCTTTATGGCTGTGAAGCCTAGCCATTGAGAGTGGAAGACATGAAAAGATTAGCTGTCTTTGATCATAGGTGCATGCGCTCTATCTCCCGTGTGAAGTGGTATAATAAGGTGAGCAATATTGAGGTTAGGCGTCGAGTGCTAGGTAAGGAGGGGAAATCAGTCGACGAGACTGTGAAATTACATCGACTGAGATGGTAAGGAAATGTGTTACGCACGCCTAGTCATCGCCTTCCTCGACGGGCAATGTTAGCTGACATAGGGTCAGTTTGGAAAAGAGCCAGTGGTGGTCAAACCAAAACATGGCCTCATCAGTCAATGAAATCTACAACAGTTAGTCTAAGCCAGTCACGTAGGAAGGTGTAGACTTCCTGACTGGTTGGGGTCCTCGGGACGGTAAGAACCGATGGTTGGAAACAATTGGTGACATGACTCAAAACCGTTCTCAGGGATGGCGCAGATGCATCCACTCCTTGTGACTTGTGATTTCCAATGAAGCTATATTGTTCTTCGTTATTACTATACCTTTGTCTCACACCTCTGTTTACTGTCTATACTATGCATTTATCCTACTTTCTTCTCTTGCTTTGTGCGCTACATGGAGGGAGTGTGGCGACTTGAACTGCCGCACATATTTGCAAAGTTCTATGTCGATAACCGACCGACCGATTATCGGCGCCTCTTTATGCGCCACCAACAGTTATTGACTTCACGGAATGTTACCATATTTCTGTCTGATAATTCCAACACGTATATCATTGAATAATTGCGGATAAAAGTTAGGCTTGATTGTGTTTTATCTTATGATTATTCTGATTGATTTAAGAAATTCATGCAACTAAAATAATTGATGATAACACTTATTCACTGGTATTATATTAATACACCTGCTCTGTCAGATAAAGTTTCTTCTCTTCATATCCTTACAGTTTATCTTAAAAATAGACTACATATTTTGCACATCTGGTATCCATAATTTCAGAAAAAAGAAAGAAAGTTGTTAACCAATTTTCTAGAGATTTTTGTATAAAACTTACATTTACACAAATCAATCAAGCAGCATAAATGACCTGCTACGGCTGGGTAATAAGTAGACTTCGATCTTCCTCTGGAGATGTGTTCTCATATGACCCACGCCGTTCAAAGCCTCTGTCAGATAAGCCATATTCATTGCCTTCACGTTGTGGGGATGTTCCTTACGTATTACGAACTTCTGGTGCTTGCAACCGAACTGGTAGACATCCAGGTCTGGCTACCTAGGGGAGCGTGGGCTTTAAAATCCGATAGGATCGAATGACGTATGAACTTCTGACACTGCCCTGTTGCTTTGTAGATCAGACTTCAAGTCAAAGACTCGGTGACCACAGAGAGAGGTGGCTCCTTAAGACAGCCACCACTTCCGACACTTTTCTTAGTGCTCATTATGTACTAAGTTTGTTTTAAGTATAATACTAATAAATGAAAGATTAAATTTATTTTGAGCGCCTAATATGCGATACACTTATCACCTGCTTGTCTAACAGCCAATGTTTTATATTTGAAGACTTATTGGTTTACTCAGTTATTAAGCTCAATTGTATTCTGTTATGTAACCACTATTATTAGCGCTTGGATATCCAGTTCAGTTAGCTGTATCCCGTCTTATTTATATTGTTATTATTATTATTATTCCCTTGGGTTCCTAGTGGAACATAGGGCTTCAACTGCACATCTCCACTTGCTTCTGTCTTCTGCTGTACTTTTCACCTGCATCCATGTTAGTCCATACTGATTCAACTCCTCTTCACACGATCTCCTCCGTGTCACTCTTGGACATCCTACTCGCCACTTCCCTTTCGGGTTCCACTCGAGCTTTGGCCTGACGTGCGATGTCACCCAGCGAGTGGCCTCCTCAGCGAGTGTCCAATCCATCTCCACTTTCTCCTGCATATTTGTTAGGCGATTGGTTCTTGTTTTGTTTGTTCCCATAGTTTCTTGTTGGTGATTCTTTCCGGCCATCTCATCTTCAGTATAGAACGAAGACAGTTGTTGATAAAGGTCTGCAACAGTCTGTTGGAAATATTCTTTGTGACACACTGGCCAAGTTTCTGATCCGTATATAAGAACTGACTTGACGTTTGTATTGAAAATCCGAATTCTGTTGTTGATGCAGGCTGAGTGACGAAGATTTTCAGATTGGTTTCAGGTTGATGAATGTGTTTCTCGCCTTCCCGATTCTCGATTTGACATCCTCGTCCGTTCGTCCTGTAGTTGAGACAATGCTCGCTAGATAGGTGCGTGAAGTAACCTCTTTTAAATCCGTCCCGTTGATGGTGATTGGCCCTGGATGTTGCTGCCGCATCCCTTGTAGAGGTTTAATTCTCGAGGTTCACATTCTATTAGGAAAAAAAACAGAAAGGGTTAAATGGGTAATTCCTTTTCCAATGCTTTAATTATAAGTACATTGTGTTGTCGTATAGTTGTATACTATTGTTATTCCCTTGACATTTTGTCCTGTCTTGTACAATGGAAAAAGGAAGATTATGTCTCTTCGTTTATCTCAGTGAACTACAAACACTATGTAAACATGTATGTGCACGTCTTTCACTGTAATTATCATATACTACTCACAATGTGTCATGGTGAATTGTAATCTACTTCAACTAGCTTTCTTCACTTAGATTTTTAAAAAAATGACAAAAGTAGTCCTACACATACTTAGGAAAATCGCTTGAAGATTATTCATTCACATTAAAATATTTTTTTTATCCAAACAGGTATGAACATGTTCCCCTTCGACGTCCTGGTTCCCTTAAAACCATAACTTAGATGCATACATCTTAATTTAATTGAGTCAATAAGTTGTCATCAAATATAATGAAAACAGAGTGCCTCAAGTACCAGGGGTTGTTTGATTAATAATTACCAACAATAAATTAAAAAAAAAGTTAACAAAAGCATTCGCTACTTGTACAACCGGCCATTACTCCAGGTCAAAATACCAGTAAATACCTTTTGCTTTTATTGAATAGAATGCCCATCTTATTATTAATATCTAATTGATCATTTCAGTGCGTTAGGGGCGCAGCGGTAGAATGCTCGCCGACCATACATGTGGTCCGGGGTTCGATCCCCGGCCACCAACACACTCCTTTACCTCACTAAGCCAATAATGAGAGTGTGATAAAGTGGGAAGGTTGGGCATGAGGCTAGCAACCGCCTTCCGTAAAAATAAACACCACTGCTACCGAAACTACAAGTCGCTAGACTGTGAAGCCCTATGTTCCATTGGGAACGTGAAAGGATAAAAAAATTGATCATTTCCCTGTAGCATATAATAAATACATGTCTGAATTTTTTTTTTTTTGCTCCGTAAAGAGTCCATCAATAGGCGGACAGTATACAAGCGACATTATTGATTTCCATATAGAGGTGGTGTATTTGATTGAAACTCGTTCGTGTGAATATAAGTTAGTGCATATGTGTGAACAGTATTCAGTCAACTAAATTACATGAAACCTCTTTAGTTTTAACGGTCTGTATGTGTGTATACCTACCACATTAGTAAAATATGAATCAACATTTAAGGTCAAGTTAAATTTAATTTATTCACATTAAACTATCGTACTATACTATAGGTACTACTAAGACCACCATTACCACCGAGTCTTTTAAGAAATACCATTCACATTGTTCATTTATAGTTGAAGTGAATAAGTTTATACACATTTACCAAAATGGAGAGTTATATTATATTTCTTTGGCATTATTGAGTTTATTCAAGCAAGGGAAAGCTACAAATAAAGATTATTTATGTATACATTATAAGAATGGGTTAATGTATTTCTTAATTAGTTGGTGTTTCTTTTGTGCTATGGTAAATCTGTGTGTATGTTTGTGCTCTTTTTCCCACATATGTAAACTTTTTATCTCAATTATAGATAATCTCTGTAATAAAAAGAAAGTATTTTTTTTGTTTTCTTTCTATTTTCTCTCTCTCTATTGTTTTTTTCTCTTTAAAATCTAGAAACAAGCAAATTTTATCAGTGCATCTGTAGCAACAACTCGTGCTCGTAATGAATATCTAATTCAATTAGCTGCTACAAATCACAGTGTTCAACGCTATTTCACACAAGAAGCACCGGATATAGTTGATGTAATATATTACTTATGATTGCTATTATATATATATATTTCGTTTTTCTTTTAAAAAAAAAACAAGTTTATTTTGTTATAGTTACTGTTACTCTTATTATTTATGCACATTTTTTAACCTTACTGAAGTGATCGTCATTTCATGTGGAGAACATGCTTTCATCATGAATTCGAGCATTGATGATGGTTCAGCGGTAGAATCCCCGCCAACCATTCAAATGGCCAGAGTTCGATTCCTGGCTGACACACTCCCTAAAGCTTCCTTAACTGAGAATAAGCCCAGTGAAGAAGCAAGTTCGGGCGTGAGGTTAGCAACCCCCCCCCCTCCATCCCATAAAAAGGCGTAGTATCGCTGTTACTGAAACTTCGAAGCTTGAAACCCTATTGTGGATGAAATTTTATTTTGATAAAGTCATACAGTTTTATACAGTAATATTAACTGATAACGACGTTTCGAGCACAAATTATTGCTCATAATCTTGTCAAGTCACTCACACAACTTTTTGCTTCATTTATATACATGAGTGGAATTGATGATTAGACATTTGAATAAAAATCAATATAGGATAATGTACATTTAGAAATAATAATACGAGTGTTATTGATCAATTACAATCAGGTAGGAAATAAGACGAGTGTTTTTATAGTCATAATAAGTTCCTTGATAGAATGTTGTGATGTGTTTGAATTGAAATAGAATTTTAAAATTACTGTACAACACTGTGTGATTTATCAAATATAAATCTTATCCATAATGGAGTTACTCTCACACAGCTTTTTTGCTTCGTTTATATACATGAGTAAAAATTGATTAGACATTTGAATGAAATCAATATAAAATATGCGTGAAACAGTAAGGAAGATAAAGTACATTCGAAAACAATATTAGTGTTATAAATAAATATAATACTATGGGAATTAAGACTAAATAGATTTTAAAATGTATTTCAGTTCACATTACTATACTATTTACCATAAAAATATCTTATTTCCCATCCAATCGACTAAACAACACTCGTCTTAATTCCCACCCTATTGTATTTTATTGATAACACTAATATTATTTCCGAATGTACTTTATCTTCCTTGCTGTTTCACGCATGTTTTATATTACTTACTTACTTTTACTTTACTTCGGCTATCTCCTACGGGAGGATGAGCCGGCTTCATGAACATCTCGAATCATCGCTGCACAGGCGCGGCGATCTGATGTGTAAGAGAGTTCATGAAGTTTCATGGGAATTTGGTACGAGTGATGTCCCCAGAATCGCTCGGCCTTTTGTTTGAGAGTGTAGCTCTAGCCTTTACACAACCAAGTGTGACCTACAAGGCAGTAGGAGTGGACTAGGGAGTCCACTATCCATTGGCAGCCGGTGACCGGAGTTCGGTTCATACGCCTTTTTGAATGGGGCCAGACATCCAGGACATCCAACAAGCCCTTTGTCCATACGTCTGCCGGTGAGCTCCAGTGAGCTTCATACGCCAGTCGTTGGAGGTTTGGAATCAGGGTTTAGCCATCTCCCCTAGACTGTCATCCAATGGACAGTCAACCTGGTGAAGAGCGCCGGGCATCCGCTTTCGCCCTCTCACTTTGGTGAAAAACACCTCCGCCACGTGAAGGCAGTGAGTAGGACTTCCTCAGGAGAGGCTATGTAAGACGCCCGGTCATATGGGAGCATTTCAAGAGGTGTGCGGAGGGGTGGCCAACCCGCAGCGCAAGGCACCCACCCCCGACCATCCTGAGGCTTTGGAGGCATGTTTTATATTGATTCCATTCAAATGTCTAATCAATTTTTATTCATGTATGTAAACGAAGCAAGAAAGTTGCATGAGAGTACCTTGACATTTGATTATGAGCAGTAATAAATTGTTTTCGAAACGACGTCATCAGTAAATATTCCTGTATAACACTGTGTGTGACTTTATCAAAATAAAATTTTATCCACACTGGAATTATACGCTCCTATAGTACCCAAGTTGTATCCTCATAGCTTGGCGCCCTATGTTCCACTCGAAAAATTGAAGGAATAAAAAAAATGCTTATTGGGCACTTGTCTAATTTAAGGAAACTGTGTATCTAAGTATTGACCTGACTAACTTCCTCTTATGAATTGTTTTATTGTCGTCCTAGGTAAAACATTCTGTTAGTGTTCTACTGCAATGCATGTAGAATCTTCCTTGATTCTCAAATCAGTAGTATGCAATTATACATTTGTTCAATGCTTTTTGCCAGTTAATCTATGTGTGCGTTACGTCTTTTTTGAATAGTAAATTTCAATTGCTATTCAAAGCGTACGCCCAACATTAATAATATATGCGTATATATGCTGATTTTCGCCCGTCATTCCACTTGAATATAGCGGGAAATGACGTAAGTTTTTCAGTACATCATTATCATCATTATCATTTGAAATATAAAGATCTTATTAGTGGTATGATTGACTGATAATTATAACAAGATAGTTAAGACAAGCTCTCTCTTATCGAAATTCGTACTTGTAATATGTATTGCTTATTTTTATTTTATTCCTTTGCGTTCCGAGTGGAATATTGGGCTTCAGGCTTGAGTTTTAACTTAGTGGTAACGTCTCTGACTGCAGTACTGGGTGACGCGGGTTCGAATCTCAGAAGGGACATGAGTTCCTTCAAGGTTGCAGATACGCCTTGCTGATGAGTGCCAACTAGCACGAAACCTAGGTCCAAAGCTTCCTGCCGATTGCCTTTAACCATCTAATACCAACAATTAAGGTTTAACGTTTCAGTAGGAATGGTGTTTAATTTTTACGGGGTGCGTCGCTAACCACAGGCATAATCCGCCTTCTTTTCAAGCAGAGTGAAGTTTCGGAGTGCGTCGACCGGGAATCGAACCCGGACCACGTGGGGTTTTGGCGAGCATTCTACTTTCAAACCATCAAAACACACAATATTTAGCTGCCTTTAATTTATTCATATTTGACTGTACTGTTTGTTGTTATTGGTGTTATGAATGCGAAGGAGTATGTCGTCTACACCTTCCTACGTGGCTTAGACTAACTGTTGTAGATTTCATTGACTGGTGCCATGTTTTGGTTTGACCGCTGCTAGCTCTTTTCCAGCCTGGCCCTATATCAGCTAACATTGACCGTCGGGAAGGGCGATGACTAGGCATACGTAACACATGTCCTAACCATCTCAGTCGATGTAATTTCACAACCTCGTCGATTGATTTCCCCGCCTTACCTAGCACTCGACGCCTAACCTCAACATTTTTCACCTTATTATACCACTTCACACGGGGGATAGAACGCAGACACCTATGATCGAAGACAGCTAATCTCTTCATGTCTTCCGCTCTCAATGGCCAGGTCTCACAGCCATAAAGGAGGACGGAGCGGACTGATAAGCAGTACACCCGCCCTTCGATCGATAGTCGGATATGTTAAGGCGTTCCAGCTGAACAGCTTATTATTTCATCTAAGAAAGTTGTAGTGAAATTTTAAGCGTAAAGGCGGTGGTTGTTCTCTTTCCGGGGGTAATTTTTAGCTATGATGACTTTACAATGATCATTATTATTTTTATTGTTATTCATTTCCTGTATAAATTTTAATTAATGTGTCATTAAAACGTGGTAGTATCCTGACATTTTAATATCTTATATGCTATAGTATCTAAACTGCTTATCTCCTGTCAGTTGTTAACATGTCAGCGCATAGAGATTTAAGAAAAAAAAAACTTGTTTTTTGTTTTCTTACACATTGTTGACATATTTTTTTTGTTAACTTCACTTCCTCTTACTCCTTTCTTTCTTTCTCTCTTCAGTGTCTTGTGTGCGGTTTCCATAATAGTCTAGCTCGATCAGCAATGATGCATTTAAGTTGTGAAGAAACACTGAAATCATGTCATGGTTCAATTGTTGAAATGTTGAATAGAAATATTACAGCACTTGATTTACGACAGGATAAAGCATGCTTCTTTAAACGCAATGAACAAGTGTATACACGTCCTGGCCAATTCACTTTTATGCCATCAAAAGAAGACAATGTGAGTGGTTTTTTATGATTGCTTTGCTTTTTCTACTCTGTATTAACATGAAATGCATTCTCTTACATAGTTTGTATTTACGTTGCCCTTTACATTCAATGGACACTAGGTTTTAACTAATGTCATACATCTAGTCCTTTTGGTGCAGGCTGAGCTCTCTCAGTCAAGTTCTATGTAGTGGCCACCATACTGGGTGGCACTTAGTGCACTCTGAATTATTCATAAGATGGCATCCAACCATCTAATAACCCTCTAAGATAAGCGTAAATTGTGTTGTCATTTGTAAACCAGCTTATTCATAGAGGTTAGAATTTGTGAACCATCAAATTCCATCTCAGTAGCTGCATTTTAACTTGTTCGCAAAGCTTTGGGTCCTGATGGAATGACTCCAGAGATGTTTAAGGACAGTGAAGACAGTCTACTGTTTACGTTAAATAAAGTATAACGCAGTGTTTAGGAATCAGAGATAGTCCCGTCGAGCTGGTGTAAATCATTGATTATCCCGATATACAAGAAGGGAGACAAGTCTTCTAGTGATAATCACAGGGAGGATTAGCTTGAGTAATATGCTATCTTAATTTCTAGGCCCAATAATCATGCGAAGACTAAGTGGTGCACGGAAGAAACAAACACGGGAGAAACAGGTAGGCTTTCGATTAGGAAGAGGGTGTATTGATTATATCTTCACCCTTCACCAGATTCTGACACATAGGCGTACTTACCGGTAGCATCCAACATTCTTTATATTTCTTGACGATTCCGTAAACCGAGAGGTACTATGGCAATGGCTTGGCTGTGAAGGGACTGCTGAAAAGTAAATCGCACTAATCAAGGTACTTTATTCGAACTCATACAGCCACTAGACAGATGAGAGCATACGAAGAGGGGGAGTTGTCATCTGAAGTGGTGACAATTGGTGGTGTCCGTTAGGTGAGATGCTCACTATCCCCATTTCTGTTTAATTTCAACATAGATTTTCTAGTGGATTTAACGCTAGCTGACTTCACTGACTCAGGGACTGACTTGTTACCATCAGAGAGTAATAGTCTCTTTGACTTAGAATATGCAGATGATGTAGTCCCGCTTCTAGGTGAGGTAAAGGCTCTGACAAAATAGAGCAGAGTCTTATGACCACCTTGAGGAGCAGCAATCTCCGAATGTTTGGCATAGGATTTGCTCCTCCTGTCAAATGTAAAATGATGATGCTACAGGACTGACTGGATTACATCGATTCACTCCTAGCTTGAAGATAAGGAGTGAAGTGGTTGGTGGTGCGTGTCGACCACTTCACTTATTTGACAAGTTGCATCAGCCATTGCCAGCAGGTTGATTTCTGACCAAATCTCAGACGGATATAGAAGGCTCGTTTGGCATTTTTCAGCCAACTTACACCATCTCTGGCTTAGTAGACGTGATATCCGGTTGACTGTTGACCAGAGGGCGTATGTACTTCTCAGCACTTTGCTCTGTCCTCCTTTATAGCTGGCTGTGAGACATGGCCACTGAAAGTGGAATACATGAAAAGGCTAACTGTTTTTGATCATAGATGTCTGCGTTCTACCTCCCGTGTTAAGTGGTATAATAGGGTGAGCAATACTGAGGTTAGGCATCGTTCGAGTGCTAGGTAAGGAGGGGGAAATCAATCGACGAGGTTGTGAAGTTACATCGATTGAGATGGTTAGGACATGTGTCTAGCTATCGCCTTCCTCGACGATCAGTGTTAGCTGACATAGGATGAATCAGGTTGGGAAAGAGTTAGCTAGTGGGGGTCAAACGTAAACATAGCTTCATCAGGCAATAAAATCAATAACAGTCAGTTTAAGCCTACTAGCCACGTAGGGAGGTGTAGATTGCCAGAGTTGTTGGGGCCCTGGGAATGGTAAAAACCAACAGCTGGAGACAATTGTCGATATGGCTCGAAATCGTTCTCGGTGATGGCGCAGATGCATTCACTCTTTATGATTTATCATATCCAATAAAACTATTGTTCCTCCATATGACTATTCTTTTTGCCCTGTATTTCTGTTTATTATCTCTTTCTCCTTTGATTCTCTCTTTACTCTCTTCTCTTGCTTTGTGTACTACAAGGAGTGAGAGTGGCGACTCGAACTGCTGTACATCTCTGTAAAGTTGTATGTTGAAACCAGTCAGTCACCCCTTAACTTGAAGGTGCTGAGTCAGCTCCCTCCCTGGTGAGAGGGTAGGTGGGCGTCGCTGACGTGTCTTAAGCTCGGATAAAATAGCTATCCAGTAATTTGAATTGTTCTCTGACTAGTGCCTGTTCATGATGAAATCCTAATCGAATCCCCACAAAACAGCATTTCTGAAGTGATAAGGTTAAAAATTTTGATATCTGATTCCCAAAATGTCGTAGTTCTAATTATTCTGTGGCTGACACTTACGTCTCTAGGGAATCACTACATCTGCACCATTATGTGAGTGATTTTAAACCATATCACCATGGCTCTTATCTCCTTTCTCCATACTTGTTCGTTACTACCTTGTAATAAATGTGCTATAATGTTTATTAAAATGGCATGCATGTGCTCTATTTCAAAACTGTCCTCTATTGTAATAATACAGAGAAATTGTGTAGCAATTGACTTACACCATAGCGTTTGTATCCTTTGAAGTATTGTACACTGGATAATGCTCACATATACTGATTACCCTTAGATTATGTGTTTAACCTTCTAGTTAGTTATGTGAATAATTGCAGGGTGAAATGTGACCTTTTTGTTATGAGTATTAAATGTCTACTTGGCTAACTGTTCATACACCCTTATGTAGCTTTCAGTCAATATTAATTTCTTACGGTGAATAATTGAGTATGCTGTTATTATTTTAATTATTATTAAAGGGTTGCTAATCTTAACTTTGGTGGCAATTATGAATGTAATTATTGTTACAAGACGACGACAACAACAATTATTTAAGCAAATTAACAGATTTATGGAAAATCAGAGACATATTTTGCAGTTGTTAAACATACCATAGCATATTGAGTATGAAGCACACAATAAATTTGCTGATTAACTGAACATATATCATGTTTGCCTTCCTTTTTTCTTTTTCTTCCTATCTGATTGTCGTATCACCATCACAACGCGAGACGGAGGTTATGAAAATAACCAACCAACAATAACAACAACAGCAGCAACATCCGGCACCAATCACAATCAACGGGAGGGATTTGAAAGAGGTTACTTCATTCACCTATCTAGGGAGCATTGTGTCAACTACAGGAGGAACGGACAAGGATGTCAAATCGAGAATCGGGAAGGCGAGAAACACATTCATCAACCTGAAACCAATCTGGAAATATTCGTCACTCAGCCTGCATCAACAACAAAATTCGGATTTTCAATACAAACGTCAAGTCAGTCAATTCTTCTATACGGATCAGAAACTTGGCCAGTGTGTCACAAAGAATATTTCCAACAGCCTGTTGCAGATCTTTATCAACAACTGTCTTCGTTCTGTACTCAAGATCAGATGGCCGGAAAGAATCACCAACAAGAAACTATGGGAACGAACGAAACAAGAACCAATCGCTCAACGAATATGCAGGAGAAAGTGGAGATGGATTGGACACTCGCTGAGGAGGCCGGTGGGTGACATCGCACGTCAAGCCAGTGCTCGAGTGGAACCCGAAAGGGAAGCGTTGAGTGGGACGTCCAAGGGTGACATGGAGGAGATCGTGTGAAGGGTAGTTGAAACGGTATGGATTAACATGGATGCAAGTGAAAAGTACATCAGAAGACAGAAGCAAATGGAGACGTGCAGTTGAAGCCCTATGTTCCACTAGGAATCCAAGTGAACAATAATAAATATCAGCTTCACTGTAAACATTCGAATAGTCAGCTCTCGGTTGAAACAAGATGACTGACTAAATTTCTACATTGAACTTTGCATAGGTGTGTAGCAGTTCAAGTTGCCACACTCCACATGTGTGGTAAAGGAATAAAAGAAACAGAGACTTAAAAAAACACAATTTTAATCAGCAATAATGTGCTGGAGAACAACAACCAACAATTTACAGTGGCGAGTCACCTAGTATGGTGGCTATATTGCAAAATTGACTGATACAATTCAGTCTGCACCAAACAAAGGACTAGACATACTACACTAGTTACTGACAAGTGTCCAATCAAAAATATCCAATACAATTCTAAAGGAGGTCAGTCGCGAGCCTAAATAGCTCAATGGTAACGTCTCTGACCGCAGCAATGGGCAACGTGGGTTCGGATCTCAGAGGGGGCATCAGTTCTTCCGAGGTTGCAAATACGCCTTGCTGACTGGTGAGTGCCAACTACCACGAAACCTAGGTCGAAGGCTTCCTGCTGATTGCCTCCAACCATCTAATAGATAGGATTTTGATTGATGCTGTAACTGTATCATCCCGAGATTTCCATTTTTTTATTTACAATATTCTGTTGATTTCTGGAACTGATGTGTTGAAAAAAAATCACAATCATCAACATTAAAAAAAAACTATTTTGATTCTAATTCTATAAAACAAGATGTTTCTGTTAGTGTTGTATAAATAATTTCCTCTGTGTAGAGTAACACACATCAATTTAAAGTTAGCATTATCGTTCGTTTTACTTGTTTACTAGTTTTGAATATTTTTGATGACATTTAAGCAAAGCAAGAATTTAGTGAGTAAATAGTAAATATTTACTTACCAATTATTACATATGTGTAAAACTTCCTTTCCCCTTCATCACAGGAAGATAAAATTCGTGCAGATGGTCCATTGTACGATGAACTTCAGACAACGGCTAACCAGCTTATGAGTAGTATTGAAACTCTTCGAGTGTCAACAGATGAAACTTGGAAAACATTGGAAGAGGTAATATTCTTTTTAATGAATACATTCATAATTCTATATGTATTCTTTCATTTTGTAACTTCACCGACTGTTAGGTTTATGCAATGATTATAAAAAGTACTGTTTAGGGTGAGGCTATTATTATTACTGTTCATGCATACTAGTGTTCTACCTCTCTCATACACTTATTTTCAAGGATTCCAAGTATTAAACTTCGTTAGTAATACAGTCATAGTTGTTATTTCCGAATAACTTAGCGAGCTATCCTAACTTACTATGCTCAATGTAACGATCTCTTAGATGGAGCGACAGCTTAAGCTTAGAACAGAACTCATCATCCTCTAGTCACAGCCTGAATTGTGTGTATAGATGCCAGCCCTCCAATACTGTTCATTATTGCACAAGCTGCGCCCGTTGATGTGACTCCAGAGGCGTCCCAGGTTGGCTCTGATGAATTATTAGTTACATTGAGTTACTAGCTGGAGTATGGTAATTCGACACAGTTCCATACGTCTAATGTAGTTCGCTGATTACCTAAATTTGTGCTTGTTGGAACAAATCCTTCTGCGTTGTAGCTAATAAGATATCCATCACCACTATTTATTTGAACTGTTGCCAGTGAATGTCTCACTGATGTAGAATTCACAGAAGATATGATGTTTTCAGACGAAGACACTGACAAATTGTTATCTTTAGAACGTCCTAGGCAAAAAAACAGCGTTTGATATACTGTTCATGAAAGGGTGGTGTATGAAATAGGTGAATATGTGAGCTACTTGACTTATTTGGGAAGTTGCATCAGAACTTGTAGAATGAGTATTGAAAAAGTCTCAGCGCATATACAAATGGGTCATCCGACACTAGCCAGCTTTCATCACTTTTTCTTTATACGGAATATTCAGCCAGTAATATATTTGTTTTGTGTTACTGCTATGAGAAATGGCTGCGGAAGATAGGTATGCAAAAATTAGAGATATTCTTTCAGTTGTCCTCGAATAGTTTCATTTAAAAGGAGATTAATCGTAAGTAATAATAATAATATTAAGCGTACTGGGGGTGGGGTGGGTGAGTAAGAGAAGTCAATGGATTACTGACTGACTGGTTTCAACGTAGGTCGTCATTGAGGTGGTTAGGGTGTGTCTCAAACTTACTAAGCTACCGACTTCCCCAACAAGTGATGTTAGATGAAGTGGGACTACGTTAATTAGTAAAGATTTAGGGTTGGTGAAATGCAAATATGTAACACCACCAATCCATGGAAATGTTGACTTCCGGTCTGCGGGCCACCTAATTAGTTCCACTGAGTTTCGGCTATTTGAACTACTCTTTTCTATTAAGTCTTTCAGACTATTACATTAGCGGTTAGCTTAGCTTAGTGTTATTACAGTGTAGGTACTCAATCTATAATTTGTAGGTGGGCTAAAATCTTACTGTCTAATTTCAGTTCTCACAAATATTTATATCATCATTCTTTAACGATTTTTCTTATTCACCCCGTGGTCTTCTACTTTTCAAAGTACTTTTTTGTAGTGTTCAATTAATCGATATTTCTATTATAACACAACTAATCGATATTTTATTCTATCATTTCTCTCGTTTGTGTTTCTTTTCCGGTTTTATAGTAAAAAAAAACAATGAATTGTTTTACACTAATTATATTCGTTACGAAATTCATTTTATTTATGTTTATGTGTAACCTTGGCAACGCAGGGTTTATTGTATAACACATGTGTATTACTTCCTAATGGTATATTTTAGTTCGCTTCATTTCACCATCTGTAACCCCTATAATGTCACTTCAAAAACATATTAGGAACCAACTGCACTACGAAATATTACTGTCTCTTCGTTTTCCATCTCTACCAGCTATGACAGTTGAAGAGAAAATTGAAGGGACGAAATATTTGACAGTCAAGCAGAGCTGTCCGAAGTTAGTTCATCCATTTTCCCGCTAGTGCCTATCGTTACCAGTAGACTAAGCATTTAAAGCTGACACTGGTCGGTAGGATTTGATGACGAAGGCACTCATGGAGAAAGAATAATTGTTGATATAAGAATAAAACTTGGGCACTGTGGTAGAATGTAATTCCATTATGGGTAAATTTTTTATTTTGATAGAGTCTCACAGTGTTATACAGTGATATTTACTGATATGATATGATATGATTATAAGCAATAAATTGTGCTCGTAACGTCATCAGTAAATATTACTGTATAACACTGTGAGACTCTATCAAAATAAAAAAATTTACCCATAATGGAAGAATAATTGTGCTCTGGTGGATCCTTGCCTCTCGCCAAAAGACTAAGCATTTAAAATGACATAGGAGTGAAACAACCTCAAGTTTAAAACTTTATTCATTTTTATTGCTGTTCTGTTTTTTCCTGACTTCATGTTTTTCTCTCTTTTTCGAAGATGTTTTTTTAACCCTTAATATGTATTCTGAAATTATTTTCAATATCTATCGTTGCTTTTAGTGTTTCTGTCTACAATGATGAAGTGCATTGATTTGCATTCATGCCGTGCAGTGTTTTTACTTAGTTTTAGTCTGTTTTTCGTGTAAATAAACTTTTATTTTGTATTTATATATATATATAGCCCTGGTACCTTTGGTTTGGGGTTTTTTCTCCCCAACTTCACTTTTTTCCCTAATGTCTTCATCAACAGTCGATCGATCGCATCATCTCTCCGGCTGATCTGGATTTTTAAATCCAGACTGAGAAGGCATGATGTTGACAGTCGGATAAAACTTTTCGTGATTTTAATTAATTCACCTTTTGGACTTTGTAAATTAGTTAATAGATCACTTTGTTGATAAATGTTGGTGGTAGTCTTAGATTGTGTTGTACACAGATGTGGGTTTTTCTCTCCACTTTGATGATCATTACATCACTTTGGTCTTTAAAAGCAAAAGTTGGAATTAATTTTGTCAGCTAAAAGATTTCGTCGCATAATCCTAGTAAAGAATCTGGTTATAATGGGTTTCGTCAGTATTCTGTGGGTACACTGAAGGAGAGGTTAGTCTAGAAGGGAGGTAAATGGGAGGCAGAGCTCCCATTGATTCTGCTAGCACATTGTCAGTCCATCCAGGAAACAACAACGAAGTCAGCATTTCAGTTGATGCGTTGTAAGAAACCAAGACTATCAATGCATAGCATGACCTGGCCTATTCACTAAGAGTAGAGTATGATGGGGCTGCAAACGGAACGGAAAGAAACCATCAGGAATTTAAAGCATAAACAGAAGAAAGATGCCGCTAGATTGGGATGCATAACATTTGAGGTCGGCGATAAAGTAAAGTATAGAGAAGGAAAGTACACTATCAGATGCGGACCAGGTTCATGAGGACTCCTTCAAAAAGTGCGAAGGGCTATACACTGTCACCAAGAGACATGGTCCCGCTTTTACCATCAAAAGAGGAAATAAGCAGAAATGGGTTAACATCAACCAGGTACAGAAATGGATTCAGTAGGATAAGGAAGCCGGGACCAAAGCACAACTGCAACGGATAGAATCAAGAAGGTCGGAATGGTTCCGTTCGAAACTGTGTGATAGAGGGACGAGTGCAGCATGTGCTAATGATAAGATTTATCAACAGTATGTAAAGAGACGTTCATCGGCATAAAAAAACACCGAATAGTAGGGAGATAGATTCGATGTCAGAGAAAGCAAATGATGCAATGGTGTTGAGATACATGGGATGCGTGAGAGGAACATAAACACAATACGAAGGAAGGGCAGAAAAAGGCACAACATAGAAGATCTGTTCAAATGGCGCGTTGAAGATAAGGTGTACATGATTTGGCTATATAGAGATACCGAATTCCCTAACAGCACTACATTTAACCTTAATAGATATATAGGCCATTCTGTATGCTTTGGATCACCGGATAAACATGTCTGACTGTTCGCAACATAATTTTAATCTGTTAGTCCTTGCAATTGTTACCTGAGTTTTATGGTAATGGTTTTTCCCTAATAACCTGTCCGATTTATAGTTCAGTAATGAGATTTATTCTTATTTTGAAGTATATATTATTTGGAACATAACACCTTTGTTTTATATTACATAGAGTTAACTGTGCCTACTTTCAAGTAAGATTTTAATATTGTCCAGAAAAATCAATAGGTTTACATAACTTATGTTCAGTGTTGAATGGAATATGGTTCGTTCGTTCAATCTACTCTGAGATTGTCTTATTCTTGTTGTTTGTAAACTTTCACTTATTGAATTTTTAGAGCAATTTTGTCTGATTTAGTGATTATATGTTTCCTTATATTGTCACATAAATTATTTTTGTTTTTTTCTTATATTTCCAGATATATGAGTGACATATTTCTTTTCTATTTTTTCGTTGTTGTTGTTTCTATTCCACTTTTTTATCCACTTACTCCGTACTTTTTCTCTTCTTTTTAATACTTCAGGTTGAGAAGAAGTTACTAGAATTAATTAACCAGAAAGACTATGATGTTTCACGATTGTTTTGTATTGAAAAACCGCGTTCAAGACGTTCACTAGGTGGTAGTGGTGGTGGTGTTGGGGCTAGTGGTATTACATCCAGTGTATCAAACAATTTAACTTCTTCAAATCCTTTAGGAAGTAGTATGGGCAGCATTGGTGCTGGTTCTGTAACCTCTTCATCATCATCTACTTCTCCAGGTACAGTGAGTACTGTCAATACACATTCAAATCAACAAGGTAGAAGTACAAGTCCTGGCCTGTTGCCTAGTTCAACTACCATGTCTAATCAAACCGGTGGGTGCTGGTGGTGGTGGTGGTGGTTTACCAGCCCAGGATGCTTCTAGTAATACATCACAAATCAATCAATCAGTATTATCATTTGGCGGGAATGATCCTACTCAAGCTGGTTTATATCTTAGCCTGAGATCATTATTTCGTGATGCTCGAATTGAACAAGAAAAGTTTTATTTGGATGTAAGTAGAATCATCAATGTTAATTGCTTTGCCATATTTATTTTTATCATCTTGTAAACTAATACAATAAAGCTAAAAATTTATATACTTACTTGCTGCGTCAGTGGTTCAAGAGTAGAGCTCTTGTCGACCACGTACGTGATCCGGATGTCGATTCTCAGTTTACACACTCTTAAATTTTCCTAGCCGATAGTACGCCCTGTAAAGAGGAAAGGTAAAGCGTGAGGCCAGCAACCCCATCCCGTTAAAAAAAATCAATAACACAACTGCTACTGAAACTTCAAAGCTCAAAGTTGAAGGCCTATGTTCCACTCGGAGCATAAGGAAATGAAAGAAGAGAGAATAATGAATGCTTAAATTTGCAAATTTTTTAATGTAAGCTCCATAATGCATTTATTGTCAGTGCTTATGGCTTTAAAAAGCAATAAATGTTTTGTTATGTTGTTTAAAACTGCCAGTAAGTTCATCTTTCAAGCTCCAGTAATGAAATTTGCGTTTTGTTTTACTATTATCAACATTCTTTTGACTTAGTTGTGTTCTCTGAGCTGGTTGGTTTAATTGTGAATCTTTCGTTGTGCCCCTTCTAGACAACATCTTCAGTGCAGGTTTTAGTAGCTATTTGAATTCTCCTCCCGACAAACTGGTTGTTAATTTACTTTTCTATTGTTTATTTTTCTTGACTTGAAATTTGAATTTTCTTGCCAGCATGTGATTTACTTTTTATAAGCTGGTAAATTTGGTCTGTAATAATGTGTGTTTATTAATCGCTGATTCACATGAGTACTAGGCTTCTGGAAATTTCCAGGGGCATTTTTGGTGTTTCCTCTATTCAAAAATTTCTACATTGAATACCCTTACAATTTCATCAAAAAAGTGTTTAAACTCGAGTCATAACACCAACAAAAAACCATCTTGAAAGACTACAAGAAAATTCACTCTACCAGTATTTCTGAAATAACAGCTAGAATATTGAGACCGTTTGAAAGGCAGCCAGCCAGCCAGTACAATCACTTCATTCGATATTGTGCAAAGCGAAAAATTCAACAGAAAAAAGATAAAATTAATACCATTTACAAAATAAACTGTATGAAATGCAATTAACAAGTACATCGGTCAAAGTGGAAGTCACCGTCGAATCCGAATCCAAAAACACAAATTGACTGTAAAAAGGCATGTTATATACTCTTTCGTATCAATGCATTTGGATTACTATGGACACCGATTTGATTGGGATAATGTCGGAATTTTAAATAGAGGAAATACCAGGGAATTTTTAGAAGCCTGGTACTCAAGTGAATCAGCTACTAACAAGCACATCACTATTGAACTTCTCTCAATATAGGTAGGTGGACGTATGCCCTGTTGATTCATAGGAAGAAGGAAACAATGCAGAGAGAGAGAGAAAGAGTAGCATAATGTGGATTGGCTATCCTGACTTTTATAGCTTCTCATTATACGGGATTGTTAACCTGTTGATTAATATGATTATAGGCGTCAGTTTGATTGACATTGCACATTATTTAGCAGTGCCTATTTCAAATCAAGGTGGATCTGTGGTTCAATAGTAGAGTGTTAACCACCAGCCACGCAGATGGTCCAGGTTCGATCTCTAGCCGATTCAGTTCCTGAACCTCGCATAGATTAATAAACCAATAGGAACTCCAGAAAATAGGGAAGGTTGGGCTTGAGGCTAGCAATCTCACTTTGTATAAATAACACAGCCGCTACTGAAACTTGAAAAAAAAGCTCTAAAACTCCTTTGTTTCACTCGGAACACAAAGGGATGAGAAAGAAATTTTCAATCAAAGATAATCTCTTAATTTCGATTAGCTCTTAATGTCATCTTAGTAACTACAATTTTTCCAGTCATTGCACATCAATCCCTTAGCTGTTAGTGTTGCTATACAAATGAATGTTCTCTTATCAAAAATTAATAAAACTGTTCAGATGTCATAATTATTGCTAAGATATTCTCCCCCCTAGTCACGTGTGGGCTGGCGATAGGTGATGGATGTGGTTATTATAGAATAAGTTGCCTTTGTGTTTCTCATAACAAATGCAGTATTTTTTTTAACCTAGATAGTCGGGTCACGTATATCGGACTAACATTATCATCATCCATCTGTCATATATTTCAAAACCACCTAAATAATAATATATAATAATAATAATAATAGTAAATTTGAGTAGCTGTCTAAATTCTAGTTCATATATGATTATTGTGCATTTATCTTAGGCGTCTACTGATACACAACACCGGATGCCCCTGTCATCTTGCTTGTCTTAGCAATTTTAATTGTGTATGTATTGTCGGTGTCGGTGTCTGAACATTCAGACGCATTTGACATACACTTTTGTCTTTTAAATCTCGAGTTTTATCTAATATTCATATATGTGAGTCATATGTGTATACGTTAGTTAGTAAGTGTGGTCGTCTGTTGTTTTTGTCAGTTTTGATATTAGTCTTTAGATGGTTTAATACTCTTTATTTTCTATACAATACAAATGTAATTATGACTCATCTAAACTAAATAAATACTAATAGTAACATCTGGTGTTTAACAAAAAGACTATTTTTTAGTTAATGGAACAAAATGTTCAAATGCAAGTTGATTAGTATTCAATTGCTTAGTTAACATATCCATAGTTATGTGTTCGAATGACTTTTGTTTTAGTTACCAAAATCATTATGTTAACGTCCGACTGGATTTCAGAGTAAACACATCTTCATGCATGTACCGTGACTACGTTGTCTCACCTACTCTGCCCACGTCAGTCATTCGCCTGTGTGTCGTACAGGCTTCGTATATATTAAATTTGTTTAAGGTGTGATATTTTCTCAAGGTGTGATAATGCCATACACACCTTAGTGTCTCTGATATGAAAAGCAGAGGCGATTAACTGATAAACTAAGTGGTTTATATTTATGATATATTCAAGAGAGAGGAATATATCAAGTTGTCTACGTTGTACCTTTCTTTTGGTCTCTCAGTCGTTTTGTTGTATTTATAACTTGTCTACTTTCTCAGTTGATCCCTTCTCTCAGTTTATTTTTTAATTGTTGTTCAACTAAAAGTGTACATTACAGTAAATCATTTGTGGAAAAATATGCCTAAATCAACGGTCTGTAGTCATTTGGAGGATGGTGACTATCAGCGGAAACCAGGATGCACATTTCGTGCTATTTGGGCCTCGTCAGCTGGATATACTTGCATTCCCCAGTAAGTGAGTGATGGTGTTCCCACCGAGACTCGAACCCAGTGCCCATAGTTTTAAGCGACAAGACGTTATCCACTACACCACGTGGGTCAAGAGAGCCACTTCTTGTACAATGGGTCTTATTAATTATTTAATTCAATTTCAGATTTTCCCGTCGATTGATTGGACCGAGCAACTCGGTCTGTAGTCATGCTACTCATGAATTCCTTTAATAGGGTGGTGTTTTTTACACTAACTTTTTAATCATCTATTCGTTGACTATCAAGGGGAAACGAAATGACTGAGGAGTTTCAACATAGGACTTTGTTCAGAAGTGCAGTAGTGCAACTCACCACACTCCATAAAGCAGCATATAGAGGCAGACAATAAAAGAAGGAAAAAGGGATTAGAAACGACTATACAAAACAGAAACTTGAAGTAGAAAGAAAAGTACCATAGAAAAACAATAAGGCTTAATGGATACGGGAAGTCAGAAAGAGTGAATGTATCTATACCAGCCATTGAGAACGATTTTGAGTCATATATTACCAGTTGTCTCCAGTTTATTGATTCTTAAAATCTCGAGGATCTCGACCAGACAGCCTACTTCTCCCTAAGTAGCTCAGACTAACTGTCAAAGATTTCATGGACTGATTCCAAGTTTCAGTTTGAGCACCACTAGGTCTTTTCCAACCTGATTATATATCATCAGCTAACATTGCCAGTCGACAAAGGCGATAGCAGGTTCTAGGTACCATGTTATAACAAAATGATTGAACATAAAACTTAGTGTATTATGCTGGAGATTAAGTTTCTTTCCAGTTAGACTTTAGATTGCGCATGAGACTGCACATCTTAACTTACTGTGTGATTAGATTTACGGGTTTAACCACGGATTGGTATCATGAACATGAATGATAGTTGGAGGACTTCATCATGAGCTGACATCAGTTAGAGAACCATTGGAAAACCCGGGAGTACTGGACAGCCAGCTGTTTCGTCCCAGTTTTGGACTCTTCAGAAGTACGCTTTCACCACCGGGGTTCGAACCCAGGACCTTCTGGTTACATGGCGAGCTCGTAGACCAACGTCAACTCATGATGAAATCCTGTAACCAATCAACCAAATCCCTACAAACGAATACTTAAATTTAATGTTCTTCAAAAAGCGAACAGGTATGAACTGCGCCAGATGGATATCTGATCAATGAATGAATAAATGAAACAGATTTTGTAAAACAGGTAATACACTAAGTGTTCTTATTATGGACATTTTGAACTTTTAAGAAAGATATCTCACTGTCGGCAACCTTGTGTAAACTCTTAGGATACTTTTTAGCAGAATACCTTTTGTATGAAATGTTTGGTTGACTAAGTTAAACACCCATTTATTGATTGTGACATTATTTTGACATTTCATCAGCGTCTACTTGCTTGCATTACATTTGTTTTCTTCACCTGTTTTTTTCTTTCTTCTTATTCACCAGAGATTTTCATTCTATACTCAAGAAATGCATATTTGTCAGTTGATGCAAGTAAAACTTGCACAAATACAAAATGCACTGGCATCTTCACAACCTATTCACCATGAATCAACACCACATACATCACCTTCTCTTCAAAACCTGAAATCTATGCTTCGACATGGAATTCCTGTATTACCAAAACTTCCAGGATGTAAAGATTTTGCTAAAAGTCCAAGATCTCCAACATCAATAAATTTCTATGGAAAGACTGACAATTCATCGTTGTCACCTCTCCCGCCTCCACCGACTCCTCATGGTTTTCATCAAGATGTGCCTAGTTCACCTGTACTTCCTTCATCGTCTTGTGATCTCACATCGACGCCTGTTTCAAGTCCATCGTTTTCTAGTCGCACTGTAAGTCCAAATAGTCAATCTGCACTAGTTACTAAACATCAACCACGTCGTGTACTACGTGTTCCAAATGTGGGCAAGCCGAAACTTTTTGGCGGTACAATCGATGAATATGTGGAAGCTACTAAACAGCCTATCCCTTGCATTATACTATCTTGTACACGTGTTATTAATGAATTCGGTAAGCATATGATTCTTTTTTTTATTGTTCTTGTTCATAATTACGCTTACTTTTATGATAACCAACTGAAGTCTCTGAGGTGGCTCTACATTGTTCATCCAAAAGTAAAGGATCTACCTACTCTTATTGAAATTCGGCTTTCCTATTGATTGATTTGGTCGAAATGTTCGGCCTCTGATCGACCCGACCGAAAGCTGCTACCTTGACGTGGTGGTCGGGCTTGGACACCGTGATGACCTAACAAGCTATACTGACTGAGACTTATGTCACTTGAGGTCCTACCATGCCAGAAAGGTTGTTTGCATAGCGGTTAGACAAAAAGCTGCTACCCGATCCAACACCATGATTGAAACAAATCCACAAAATATTATGCCGGATCGGTCGGGGCCCGGATTAACAACGACCGCGCTTCCTGCTGCCGTGTCACAGGGCAGAAGTGATAAATACGCTACTGAGACACACCAAATGAAAAACAACAAACAAAAACAGACCGCGTGTGACCGGCCTCAAGCAGTTGTCCCCTGGGCTCTGCGGTCACGCAACCAACTTCCACGGTGTGGGCAGCTGGGAAGTAACAATCGCCCTCACAATCCGAAGTGCACGCGAAACCTCTCTAATCCTCTGTTGAAATGTTGGTTCCTAGTGCGGATACTTCGATAATGTCTGAGGACTAACTCGATTAACTTGTAATCCTGAGACATTGTTGAAGCATCCGCACTAGGACTTGACATGTCAACAGACACTGAACATTTCGGTCAAATCAGTTGACGGAAAAACCAAATTTAAATTTTCAGAATCAAACAATAACTGACACCTGTTGCACAAGAGGTTGCTCTTGTCACCAGATTTTCTGCTAGATAACTCTTTGAAACGATGGGCTCTGGGTTCGAGTCTCGTTGGGAGCATCATCACTCACTGGAGATTGCCGCTATGCATCCAGATGATGGGTCCCAAGTAGGGGGAAATGCGCATCCTGGATTCCACTGAAAGTTACCTCTCACCAAGTGAACCCTCATATTCTTTTTGAAAACAGAATCAAAGCATTACAGATAGTATAGTTGTCTGGATTTATATTTCTGACTCTACGATCAGTTCCATTATGGATAAGATTTTATTCTGATAAATCACACAGAGTGGTGTTACACAGTAATATTAACGGATGACATTTCGAGCACAAATTATTACTGCTCATAATCATATCAAGTCAATAACACAACTTTTTTTCCTTCATTTATATACATGTGTGTGGAATTGACTAGATATTTGAATAAAAATCAATATGGGATAATGTGCATTCAGAAATAATAATAATATGAGTGTTATTGATCAATTACAATCAGATGGGAAATAAGACGAGTGTTTTTATAGTCATTGATGTGTTTGAATTGAAATAGAATTTTGAGATTATTTATTATTCTCCTCTGATTTGAGTGAATCGGAAAATGAACAAGGAGAATTAGCTTTGTTAGATTGTAAAATAAAACCAATAGAAGAAGGTAAACTACACACTAGTGTTCATAAAAAAACATCGCATTCTAATAGATACTTAAACTTTAATTCGTCTCATCCGTTAATTGTTAAGGCAGGCTTAGTTAAGTGTCTAACAAACCGAGCAGTAGCACTAAGGACCTAAATGATGAAATAAAACAGATAGAAGCGTCGGTATCAAATGACTGTCCAATAAAATCCATTAGGAGGATCAGTAAAGGCCGAAAGAAAAAGAAAAAGAATTGTGAAACTAGTGATAATAACATAAATAAGAGAGAATATAAGTCATCCACTGTTATACCATATAAGGAGGGGACATCTGAGACCCTACGTAGGATTGTAAATAAAGCAGCAATTAGAGTGGCATTTAAACCTACAAACTCACTCAGGGACAAGCTCTGTGGGTTAAAGGACCCTGTCGGTTGACTCAATTAAACAAAATAATATAATTTACAGAATACCCTGCAATGACTGTGAGGTCAACTGTATAGGTCAAACTAGTAGATCGGGGGTAATCAGACTGGCGGAACATAAGAATTTAGCTAAGGGAAAACTGATTGACCCCGAGAAGATAAGTAATTTAGACAAAAACTCAGCAATTGCACTTCACGCATTAACACACAACCACACAATAGGGTGGGAGAGGGTTAAGATTCTAAGAAGTAATCTATGTAGGTGGAGAGAGACAGAGGTTGAATACTGAATCCTGGTTCATTGAGTCTATACCCAACACATGCAAGAGAAATGACTCAAAGTACATACCAGAGATATGGAAGATATTATTACCGCTGGTCAGTCAAATCAGAAGAGGATAATAAATAATCTCAAAATTCTATTTCAATTCAAACACATCACAACATTCTAACAAGTTACTTATTATGACTATAAAAAAACACTCGTCTTATTTCCCATCTGATTGTAATTGATCAATAACACTCATATTATTATTTCTGAATGTACATTATCCCATATTGATTTTTATTCAAATGTCTAATCAATTCTACTCATGCCTATAAATGAAGGAAATAGTTGTGTGAGTAACTTGATATTATTATGAGCAATAGTTTGTGCTCGAAATGTCATCCGTTAATATTACTGTGTAACACCACTGTGTGATTTATCAAAATAAAATCTTATCCATAATAGAGTTGTGCTCTACTACAGTGCCCAAGTTTTATACTTATATCTACGATCAGTTCATATTTTAAATTGAAATTGGAGAGATTGCTTTCCAGCATATTATTATTTTTACTTCAGTTTTTGTGAACTGATCGGTTAAATGTCAGGTGAACCAATTTGTATTTTGGTGTCTTTTTTTAATTATAAAATGACAAATTAAATTGATCAATTAGTTTTCATGCATATAAATAGATATTCCATCGTGTATGAAAAATAATCCTCTTCTTGCACACTTGGTCGACTACAATTTGATCAGAATTCTTATATTTCTCTTATCGATAGAGTTATGAATGCATAAAATCAAACTACACGTCTTCTTTACTGTGTTTTGTTTTTATTCCACCCGTAGACGTGTGTGTGTGTTATACCTTGCTGTGAGAGATATAAATCTTGATATAAACGTCATTTGAATTCCTGATTTTATAAGGTATATATTTCCGCTTAGTCTCGGATAGTTATGCTTTTAAAAAAAAACACGTATTCATGCGATATACTTGAATGTATCAAAATGATATTAGGTAATCAATCTATAAGGGAAGAATTTTGTATTCCTGTTCCACTCATTATTGTTAATAAGCGAGCGCTATGTAAAGATTTACAACACTTAGGAATAATGTTGTGTGTAAACGTGTGTGGGTGTGTGTGTGTTTGTGTGTATCAAGCACGTAAAGTAGTAAGGCTTAAAAAACTTATCTTTCGTAACATCCATCCCGCGTAATCAAACGCTTTAACGAAAGAAAAACAAAACAATTTCAATGTCAAATTTATCCTACCATTCATTGTTTTCTCTCTCTCTCTCTCTGTCTTCATTTTTTAGTCTATCACTCTCAGAAGAGAATAGGAGTGTGTGTATATTTATAGAAAATAAGGGGACTAATTGAATAAATCTTTACCCAGTTCTGTTGATTCTGAGGAAAGATACACTGTCAAATGTCATAAGGAAGAAGTAGAGCGTTTCACTCAAATTTAAATAAAGACATGAGTAATACAAGACTGCCTACTATCACCGGTAATATTCTTAATTTTGGTCATCTGGATTATGCGGTAGACTGTGGAGAGCGAAAAGACAGATCTGAACTTTCTCAGATGATTCATGTCTAATGTCACAAACTAACTTAAAAACTTACCGGTGAAAACCAACGGACTGGCAGAAGAAGCTGGCAGCAAAGACAGGTCTTGAAGTAAACATAGAAAAGGCGGAGATGATGAAGAGGCATATTAGGCTACCAGTCGAGTTCACCATTATTACCGTATACCAATTAACAGGCGCAGACATAACAAACTTAAATACCTCTGATGGATTGACTCCAGAGATATTTAAGTACGGGGGAGACAGTTTACTATCTGCATTAACTGAGGTTCTAGGCAGCGTCTGGGAATCAGAGGAAGTCCCATCGGGTTAGTGTAAGTCACTGATCATCCCGATATACAAGAAGGGAGACAAGTCTTCTTGTGATAATCACAGAGGGATTAGCTTGACTAATGTAGTATCCAAAATCCTAGGCTCAATAATACTGCGTAGACTAAGTGGTGCTCGGGAGACACAAACACGAGAAAACCAGACACGTTTTAGGCCAGGTAGAGGGTGTATTGATCATATCTTCACCCTTCGACAGATTCTAGAACATAGGCATTCCTACCGGCGTCCGACAATCATTATATTTCTTGACCTAAATGCGGTATTCGATTCTGTCGACCGAGAAGTTCTCTGGTGATGTTTAGCTGTAAAGGGAATGCCGAAAAAATACATTGCACTGATTAAGGCACTCTACCCGTACTCATGCAGCCAGGTGAGGGCTTACGGCGAGTTGTCATCTGAAGTGGTGACGACTAATGGCGTCCGTCAAGGATGCCCATTATCCCCATTCCTATTCAAATTCATCATAGACGTACTAATGGATTTAACCCTATCACACTTCAGCGACTCAGGGATTGACTTGCTACCAGGGAATAATCTCGTCGACTTAGAATATGCGGACGATATAGTCCTTCTAGGCGAGGACTCTGACAAAATGCAGAGTCTACTGAACACCTTGAGCAACAATCTAAGGATGTTTGGCATGCGATTCGCCCCTGTAAAATGTAAGATGATGTTGCAGGATTGGACTTCACCGACTCCTAGATTAGAAATAGGAAGTGAAGTGGTAGAGCACGTTGACCACTTCACTTACTTGGGAAGTCGCATCAGCCCCAACGGGTTGATCTCAGACAAAATATCAGCACGAATACAGAGGGCTAGGTTCGCATACGCCGGTTTACGCCGTCTCTGGCGTAGACGCGATATCCGACTATCGACCAAAGGGCGTGTGTACTGCTCAGCAGTCCGCTCCGTCCTCCCTTATGGCTGTGAGACCTGGCCATTGAGAGTGGAAGACATGAAAAGATTAGCTATCTTTGATCATAGGTGCCTGCGTTCTATCTCCCGTGTTAAGTGGTATAATAAGGTGAGCAATATTGAGGTTAGGCATTGGTCGAGTGCTAGGTAAGGAGGGGAAATCAATCGACGAGACTGTGAAATTACATCGACTGAGATGGTTGGGATATGTGTTTCGTATGCCTAGTCATCGCCTTCCTCGACGGGCAATGTTAGCTGATATAGGGCCAGGCTGGAAAAGAGCTAGCGGCGGTCAAACCAAAACATGGCACCAGTCAATGAAATCTACAACAGTTAGTCTAGGCCACGTAGGAAGATGTATACTTCCTGACTGGTTAGGGTCCTCGGGACGGTAAAAAACAATGGTTGGAAACAATTGGTGACATGGCTCAAAATCGTTCTCAACAGATGCATCCACTCCTTGTGACTTATGATTTCCGATAAAACTGTTTTGTTCTCCGTTATTACTACTCCTTTGTCTCACACCTCTGTTTACTGTCTATATTATTATGCATTTCTTCTACTTTCTTCTCTTGCTTTGTGCGCTACAAGGAGGGAGTGTGGCGACTTGAACTGGTGCACATATGTGCAAAGTTCTATGTCGAAAACCGACCGACCGACCGAGACATAACAAACAAGTGACGGGTTTATGCATTTCAGTACGGTTGTAACACCACCACCACTAACAACAACAAGCACCAGTCAGTATAAACGGGGGACCTGTGAATGAAGTTACTTCCTTCACTTATCTAGACACCATCGTTTCAAATACAAGCGGAACGGATGAAGATGTCAAAGCCAGCCAGAATAGGAAAGTCAAAACAGATCGTCATCACTCTGAAACCAGTTTGGAAATCTTCTGAACTCAGCAATAAAGAACACGATTCGAATTTTCAACACCAATATTAATTCAGTCATCGCTTCAGTTTAGGTCAGAAACTTGGCGTATCCGTCACGAAAAGTATTTCTAACAGGCCACTACAGACTTTTACCATCAGTTGCCCTCGATAGCTCCATACTGAAGGTATGATGGTCGGAAAGAACTGGCAACTTGATACTCTGGGGACAAACCGGTCAAGAACTTATGGCGAAGAAAGTGGATATGTGTCGGACACACCCTGAAAAGATCATGGAATGGCATCGCGCGCCAGACCATTGCTCGTGTGGAACCCGAGTGGGAAGCGGCAAGTTTGTCGTCTAAGGGTGAAATGGAGGAGATCGTGTGAGGAGAATATAAGAGACTTTTGATAATCGTCGGGCCATTGAAAGAGGGCAGCAGAGAACAGAATAAAGTGAAAATGTTCTATTGAAGCTCTGTGTTCCACTCGGAATCCAAGTGGGGGGGGGTATAAAATGTATATGGTTAATAATATAACAGTAATAGAACTTTTCATTTAGTACTCAAAATTCGCTTTGAAAGGAAGGTTAGACACTTCTCTGTGATGAAGGCAGAAGAAAATTAACGTGGTCTTCTAAAATTCTGAATTCTAATCTGTTTTTAAATTATGGTATAGGTGTATTTCAGATACTCCAGTTGGTCATTAGTCATTTCTTCAACGGATTTTCAAATGTGGTTACCACTCTAATAGAACTGTTTTACAATGCACTTGTGATTGGAGTTGGTTATTTACAAAGAACATTAACTAAATAGCCTTAGGTCAAAGTTTTTATTGTTGGCACATACGTTAGGAAGGTGTATTTTCGACCTAGGAAGAATCGACACTAGGCATCACGTAGATCTTTTGACCTGTTTTATTTGAGACTTCTTGTAGTCACATCAATCTTCTTATTCTTTTTAATATTATGAATATCTGAGCGCATGGATATGCTGTATGTATGTTAGTCTAGCCGTTTTTAATATAATATAATATAACGATCATTTCACATACTTATCATATGATGTAGTATCAAAATGGCTATAAATTTATGGTGATTTAAGTTGATTTGGGGAGCTTCCCAGCGTAGTGGCTACATTGCAAACTTGACTGATAGAATTCAGTCTGCACCAAACAAAAGACTAGGCACATAACACTAGTTACTAAGTAGTATTCAGTGAAAGTATCGAATACTTTCTCACAGGAGGTCAATCGCGAGCCCGAACAAGTTCAATGTTAACGTCTCTGACTGCAGCACTGGGGGTGACGTGGGTTCGAATCTCAGAAGGGACATGAGTTTCTTCAAGATTGCAGAGTGCCAACTAGCACGAAACTTAGGTCGAAGGCTTCCTGCTGATTGCCTCCAACCATCTAATATATCAGTGGCATTACAATGAAAAAACATGTATGCATGTTGGTGTGTGTGTGTTTCACAGAGAGAAATATCAAGTGAACTTTTATGACTTATATGACTGATAGTCTAATAATCCAGTATATACTATGTATTTATGAGTATACTTAATCCTTCAATACATGCAGCAACATGCTAAGTCCTATCAGTAATGAATTAATAAATACTTTTTTTGTTTCGCTTCTTCTTAAACCTCTCTGTTTCTTCTGAAATATTCTTTGCTGCGTGTATATTGTTCTCTGTACAATTTGACTTTTTTTCTTTTCTTCATTTATGCCGTATATCAAGCTGTGCTGCTGGTAGTAATAACAATTGTCCTCTTATTTTTGGACATCTCACTTTTATCAATTTTCCGTAAAAAAAGTTTAAGTGCACTATTCTTTACCAAAGGATATTGATGAACTACTTTTCTGTGCAGTGTGACATTTGGTGAAAACTAGTTTAATAAAAAAAACAAAACAAAACATCAGTGTCCTTAGTTTACTACCATTGCTGCTAATCGAAAATAGAAAAGACTGGCAGGACACTATATATATATATAATTTAGAACAACACATTTAAGCGAACAATATTGTTCGCTTAAATGTGTTGTTCTAAATTTTACTATGGGAATATTTAATATATATATAAAACAATTTTTCGTCTTGAATTTAGTTGAATTTCAAAAAGAAACTTCTCTTAGCCATTCACCCAAAGTCGATTCGATCATGTCATGTAGATACAATATACAATGGTGTTTTGCGAAACTAGCTCAAACTGTCTTCGTATGTATGTGTGCCATTATTGTCTTCCGTAGTTGTAATCACAGATTAGAGAATAGAATAAAACTCGCTATTAAGGAATGAAATCATGTGATTTCGCAGCCTCACGGACTCTGCGGAGTTGATTTCGGACCGACGAACTGCTAATCCAATCCCAGCTACTACTAAGCTTGTAATATAGAGGTAGTTTTGGACATGAAGCTACCGTGAGAACAACGCCACCTCTACCTGGAGATTTATGCTTCGCTTGGAATAGCGTGGCATAGCGGTTAGGATGCTCTCTGACCATGCACATGGTCCGGGGTTCGATCTCTGGCCACCGACGCACTCCTTTACCTCGCTAAGCCAGAAATAATGTTGGTGAAGAAGGAAGGTTGGGCATGAGGCTAGCAACCCTGTCCTGTAAAACAAACATTGCTACAGAAACTTCAAGCCACTAGCTTGAAGCCCTATGTTCCACTGGGGAGCGTGAAGGAAAAAGATAAACTCACATTTACAAAGGCATCATGCAATGAAATAATTATGAATATTTCTTATGAAAAAAGGTTCATGCCAGATAAAATAGTTTCTAGATACGCACCCTTTCCGGCTAGACACATATGGATATCTGCTAAATTTCTATATGCTTTCTACATCTTTTCATCGGTTCGTTGTGTTTGTTAAAGCGAATTTATTTGATAAAGTCTCACGGATTCATATCAGTTAGAGAACACTTGAAAATCAAGGTGTACTGTAATGAGGACTAATACTCGCTGATGTCATTGCCTGGTGGTTGGGCTAAAATCACGAATTGATAGCAGTTAAAATTCATGGTTTGGCCATTGAGTCGGCGGCTCCCACTGGCTCAATGATCTGCCAACTTGTTTTATAACTGGAAGGTCCTGGATTTGAACCCCGGTGGATACGTACTGCCGATGAGTCGCAGACCAGGACGAAACAGTTGTCCAGTACTCTCTGGTTTTCAAGGGTTCTCTCTAATCCGCTGTCGAAATTGAAACGGATCAAGCCCCTAGGAACCAACTGTTGAAAGTCTCACGGTGTTATACAGTATTATTCACTGATGACGTTCGGAGCACAATTTATCGCTCATAGTCACATCAAGGCACTCTCACACAACTTTTCGAGTACCTTGATATGATAACAATCAATAAAGTACTCCCGAAGCGTCATCAGTAACTAATACTTTATATTACTGTGAAACTTCATTAAATAAATTCACTCTACGATGGAATTCTACTCCGCTACAGTGCTCAAGTTCAGCTTTTTTTTATCGAGCTCTAACGTATTCCACATAGTTTTTCCACTAACTTATTCATATTGCCTTGACTTATTATTATTATTTCTTTTTATCATTTTAGGAATGCATCAACAAGGTGTTTTTCGAGTTTCTGGCAGTCAAGCAGAGATAAATGAATTCAAAGATGCTTTTGAAAATGGTGATGATCCTTTAATCGGTATTCATGAACCAAGAGATATAAATTCTACAGCTGGACTACTGAAATTATATTTCCGGGAGCTAGGTGAACCACCATTTCCCAATACAATCTTCTTAGAACTTATCAATATAACACGTGAACGTAAGTCTTTGCCAAAATGTCTTCCTATTTTATTATGTTAAATTGAGTCTGTTTAGTTACTTCATTAGAAACGAGATAACCTTAATTTGTTTTTTTCTCATTGGGAAGCTTCAGTGTTACAAAAAAAAACGTGTCACAGTCAAAGTACTTTTTTGTAATTGAATAAAATAATTCATTTTATGTAGTGTTTTTAAATAAGTAAAAAGAGCAACGAAAATCAATACAGATGAAGATGGGGGTTGCTTTTCCATTACCCAAATTACATTTCTAGTTCTAGTTCCTCTTTAAACTTCTTCCTTGGATAAGACTTCATTTTTTCCTTCGTTATTTTTAACCTTAGTTCATTTGTCTTGGTGTTATATTCGCTGTTAGATTGTCTGCTATGCAGAAAATATTCAAGCATATGTATTTGCGTTAAGCGTATTTTAGTCATTAGATGGTGGTTGAAGGCAGTCGGAAGAAGGAGGATTTGTAACCAGGTTTCGTGCTTGACTCACGATACTAGTTACTAACTAGTGTCCAAGTAAAGTATCCAATACTTTCTCCCAGGAGATCAATGGCGAGCCCAAATAAGTTGTGTGTTAACGTCTCTGACTGCAGCACTGGGTGACGCAGGTTCAAGTCTCAGAAGCGAAATGAGTCCTTGCAAAATCGCAGATACTCCTTTCTGACTGGTGAGTGCCAACAAGCACGAAACTTAGGTCCAAGGCTTTCTATCGATTGCCTCTAACCATCCAATAACAACAATTCAAAGTGCAATGTGATGTCGAAGCATGGTGGCCAAATTGCACACTCTACTGATAGAACTCAGTCTGCACCAAACAAAGGACTAGACGCATGTTACTAGTTACTTACTAGTATCAGCTTCATATCTCATTGATAGTATTCATTCTTTGCGTTCCTAATAGGACATGGGGTTTCATAAGTACATCTCCATTACAGTCAATTCTTAGTCGTCGTTTTCACATGTTTCTATGACTCCTGACGACCTCTCAGTTCCCTTTCACACGATCTTCTCCATGCCACCAAGGGATGCCCAACCCCTTCCACCTGGCGTGTCATTTCACTCAGCGCATATCTAGTCCTTCTTCAGCATTGATTACCAGTTAATAAAACATTGAAATGAAATGCTCAGTGACTAGAACTCCTCACTTTCTTCAAACAAATCATGTTTTTCAAGTATTGGTTTGCAGGGATTTGGTTGATTGGTTACAGGATTTCATCATGAGCTGACATTGGTTAGAGAACTATTGGAAAACCTGGGAGTACTGGACAGCTGTTTCGTCCTAGTTTGGGACTCTTCAGCAGTACTCACCCACTACAGGGGTTCGAACCCAGGACCTTCTGGTTACAAGGCGAGCTGATGACATTGGCTAGCGGTTGCGCTATATCGTGAATTGGCAGAAGCCATTTGATCAGGTCCCAGTGGCTTAATGGTCTACGAGCTAGCTCGCCTTGCAACCAGAAGGTCCTGGGCTCGAACCCCGGTGTTGGGAGCCTACTGATGAAGAGTCCCAGACTAGGAAGAAACAGCTGCCCAGTACTCCCAGCTAGTTTTTCAATGGTTCTCTAATCAATGTCCGCTCATAATGAAATCCTGTAACAAATCATGTTTTCATAACTGTTTCCATTAATATTACGATTTTCTTCTTAGCTTTATAGATATTTTCTTAAGATTTCACACTTGGAGCATACACTTCAAAATAAATAAACAAGTACATATCTATTGTTTTTAAGTTAAAATTCCATTCCAATGTTAGCCGTCTTCTGTATTCCACTCTTAGCACAATTATAGATGTATAACATACTTTTGGTATAAGAAATTTATTTAAGAATAGAAATTAAGTGTAACATTTAAGGTTTTCTACTATTTCTGCCATACCTTTCTAAGACAGAAAAGTCATACCGATAACAACCACACGTCTTACATATAAGGTAAGCTGTCATTATCACTTTCAAAGGTCATTGCAACTACCGATCTAACGCAGAGTTGTGGCGTGGGGAACATATGGCTTCGATAGCACATCTCTCTTTTTTATCCTCTTCTATGCAGTCCTCTTTATTTAGCTCCTCGATTCCCCTTAACCTTTCATCTCCTTCTCACACGATCTCTTCCATTTCACCCTTGGACCGATGCCCAACTTGTCGTTTGCAATTGGGGAATCCTGACAACCCAACTTTAAATTGACGCTTAATAAGTTGTTTTTAGGTCATGATACGTCGGTGATGCATTCTAGTTTCTCTCTGCTGTCGGTAGCACAGCGGTCAGGACTCTCGCCGACCATGCACATGTTCCGGGGTTCAATCCCCTGCCGGTGCACACCTGATATCAATGGGTCGGCCTGCAAAATTTGAACTACCGATATCACATGCTGAAAATGCCATACTTTTGCCGAAAATACTGTGTGGTTTCAAGATATAATCAAAAAAATCACTGCTTCAGTGTCAGTGAAACACATAGTATTTAAGTACCAGTCTCGGTCGAATAAGCTTCGTTTTCCTGATTTCAACTGACGATTGTAGGTAATCGCATACAATGAATATTAACCGACTTCATTTTGGATTTTGTAATCAAGGGATATTTTGTTATCGTATCTAATACCATGTTGCTTATTTTCTTTCTCTTCTTGCCCAGCTTGTCAATCGATTTCTTTGTACTTATTTTTGTTCTTATTACTTCTAACAAGTACTATAATTTTAACAATTTTTTTGCAATAATAGTAATTTGTATCAGTGGCTTGTTTTCCCTCAATCTTGATGTTGTTTTTGTCTCTTTGTCTATCCATCTGTCTGGTAATCATACCAACCAACCAACTAACTATTTTTCCTATAGACTGTTTTCTTATTTATTCAATTTTTCAATTTGATAACTAACATTTTAGTGTACTAGTACAAATGTCTTTCTGTGAATAGGGTATGGTGATGTTTATCTAACAGACTTACTTGTATGCCTAATCTGTTCAGCTATTAAACTACTGAATTTTCTGCAAGGAAAGATAAAAATCCATTATTATAAATTTGAAAAGGAAATAGAATGATAATGGTTATTGTTTTTGAATGCTGTTTAATTCTAGGGAATGTAACCAGTAGATTTTACTCACCATCCGATTGATATCAGATTGGTTATTTTTTCCATTCCTTGTGTTCCAACTAGAATGTAAGGCTTTGAAGCGTTTTTGAAGTTTCAGTAGAGTGGTGGTGTTGTTTTTACGGGGGCGGGGGGGGGGGTGGAATTCCTATCCTCACGCTCAACACTCCCTTTTTTCTGGAATTGCTACTGGTTGCGAGGGGGGGGGTTAATGAGTTAATCGAGCGGGAATCGAACCCGAAGCTCTTATACCGTGCCTGGTGAGCATTTGATCATTAAACCAACTCACAAAATATAACTATTAGATCGCTTTAGAGTAGTGTTTGTTTCATTTTGAGATGTTTAATCACAACTTTTTCTCTGAATGGTGTTAATTAAAGCTGGTCAGATGATTGGATAGACCATATCAGGTGACTAGTTACTACTAGGCGTTTTTCGCTGATGTATCTGTGTGTGTTTATGTCTTTAATCGATGTTGTATCGAATAGTGGTTACCACTGTAATTCAATTTTGATTAATGTTGCAATTTAGGTGGAACATCAACTATGTATACAGACACTCGCACTATAACCATGGAATTCCGCCTCATTTTAGCCCTGAAAACCAAAAGAAGAAGAACCAGCCAAACGACAGGGTTCCTGTGGAGACACTTACATAGGTAGAACGACTCAGGAAGCCCACCACCTCCTTCTTAATCAATGTCCAACGTGGTTAGGTAATGGAGCTAATCAAGGAGTCAATCAGGAGTTCCATACTGGTACACCCTGTGGATACAAGTCACAGGACTGATAAAAATTCTGCCTATGAAATTCTATATAAGGTACCGCCGGTGTGTGCGTACTGATGAAGAGTCCCAAACTAGGACGAAACAGCTGTCCAGTACTCCCAGGTTTTCCAATGGTTCTCTAACCAATGTCAGCTCATGATGAAATCCTGTAATCAATTCTCTAAGTTTATACGTCTTCAATCACTCAGCATAGCTAAGCTAGTTGCCATAAAATATTTCAGCCTAATCTTCGTGTTCACAGAAAAGTTTGTTCAATCCCTGTCTGTCCCATGGTTTTCAACTCCGACTTATTTCGGTTGTTATTGTTATTCTACTTACATTCTTTTCGATTATATTTTGGTTCTATTGATCCACATTGTTTTTCAAATGTTTATGACTGACATTTCACCATGTAGCTGCAAAACCTGGTGAGAATTCGCCGAAAATATACATCGTTGCTTGCTTAAATCGTGTTCAAAAATAAAATGGCTTCACTACATACATATGTGTGTGTGTGTGTATTTTTCGCATTCCCTTCACAGCTACATACTGGTTGTTGATGAGAAATTGTTATTATGACGGATAAGTATTAAAATACTCGAATTATGTCGAAAAATGTAAATCAGCTCCTAAATATACGTGTATATTTTGCACTGTGTATATTTATAGCACTGTTAGTTGGGATACTATAGTAAGAGGTGGATTTGAAGTTAATAATAGTTCTTCTTTTGGGGAAAAATGATTTTCGTGTTGCCACTACAGGGGTTATGGCTCATCAAATTGGTAGTATACATTTGAGGATTTTAAACGATAGGGCCTTCGCTTATTTTGTCTCTGAGAGCGTCACCACCTACTGGGATGCATATACAGTGTACTGAATAATGTCAAATGGAAAGAAGCGTTCATCTTTGTAGAAATCAGGGTGACACTAGAGCATATGTTCAAGGAGACAGAATGAATTCTTTCAATTCGATTCAGGTATATAATGTGTTTGACGTAGAATTACACTTTCAATATACAGCTACGTGCATTGGCATTTTGAGTTTAGAATACTCGCCAACCATGCTCCACGTGTTCCAGAGTTCTATCCTCGGCTGACACACTCCTTAGTCGGTTGTAAATCCGAAAAATAGGGGAGGTTGGGCG